TGTGTATACTATATACAGGGTAGCCCACTTAAATCGACCATCTGAAATATTTCGCTTATTTTTAATGATATAAAAAAAATGTTTTAAATGAAAATGGAAGGGTTTCGAGAGGGACATATTTTAGTCATGTTGGTTTTTTTTTTTAGATAGAGACGTTAAAAAGATATGAAGATTACCTCCACTTTTTTAAATGGAATTATATGACTTTTTTCTTCTTTTTCAAACGCTATCTCAGCGCATAGGCACCTCCCTCTCATATACCTATGCGCTCACTCTGATCGTACAACAAGGGACCTTTTTAAATTTAAACGCCAATTCCGAACGGCAATTTTTGATAGGAAGGTTTCCTGGGCAAGTATACTACTTAGTGGTTTGCCATTGCCTTCCAAAAGGAACTACGAGTGTATGAAAATTTTTCGGTTCTTCCGGGGATCGAACTCGGAATCTCTAATATATTAGACCAGTGCGCTATCTGCTACACGACACTCGCGCTCATTTGTTGATGGAAAGAAAACATATAGTTGCTTATTTAAAAAATTATCGATTTTGCATACATATTTTTTTTAAAGCAACGATATATTTTCTTTATAACTGATTGAGCTCATTATTCTGTTCATAAAATTATTAAGGTACGATTATCAAAAAATTAATAGTTCATGAGTTATTTAACATTTTATGTCAATATGTGTCAGAATGAAGTGTAAAATATCTCATAAACTATTGTTTTTTTTATTACTACCTTAATACTACCTTATTATTACCTTAATACTTTTATGCAGAATAATATTAGAGGAATCACGTGTAAAAAAAATCGTACCATTCCATTTAAAAAAGTGAAGGTGACCTTCATTTCTTTTTGATGCTTTCACTTAGAAAAAAACATGATCAAAATAGGTCTCCCTCGAAACTGTTCCACTTTCGTTTGAAACATTTTTTTGTATCATCAAAAATAACCGAATATTCAAAATGTTCGATTTAAATGGAGACGATTTAAATGGGACCTGTGTGTGTGTGTGTGTGTGTGTGTGTGTGTGTGTGTGTGTGTGTGTGTGTGTGGGTGTGTACATATACATTCCAGATTTATTGCATCGTAAAATAAACTTATCCAATTATATCAGAATGCTCGACAAATTCCAAGCGCTCTTAAGTTGCAAATAGTAAAAGCTGCCAGAGCTAATGAATATAGTAAACGAACTTTTGTAAAATTTCCTTGGATGTGTTTACATTGTACAGGGAAGACACACGTGCAAAGGCGACGTCTGGGCGTTTGCCGTCACGCTGTGGGAAATACTGACATTCGCGCGGGAGCAACCGTTCGAGGAGTTTTCGGATCATCGAATAGTGGAGAATGCGACTTATTTTTATCAAGAGGATGAACGAAGGGTAAGTGCACGGAGTAATTCTTCGACTTTTTTCCCTCATTGTGTCCGATGTACTTAATGTAATGAGTGCACTATGAGTACTTGATTTCGCATTGAGTGCCTTGCGAAGCTTTCAAGGCTTTGAACGCCGCTATTTATTCCGTCTTTCCAGACTTCTGATTACCTTACTCCATAGATTTTTACTTCGTTTTTTTCTATTCTTTACGTAGCTTCTTTCAAGAGTAGTCTGAACGTGTCCTATTTCTCTAAAATTGACTGTAGGACAATTAACATCGTTGAAAAAACAGGTTTAAATAAACGCACGGTGTCGAACATGTAATTATAAAAGTGGGTCGCGCGAATGTGTTTCCATGAAAATGGCAGAACTACTTGCTTAGTAATTCATATAATGTAATAAATATTGCGTCGCACTCGAGCCCGTCGCGTTCATTTTCCCAACATCAAGAGTGCTTCAAACCAACACGCGCATTGTAAGAATTGTTATTGTATACTCTCTCGGTGTTGTAGAGAGAGTTTGTTAATATTTACGAACAGTTCATTGTATAACAAATATTGTGATTAATTACGTGAGCAAAATATTTTTATTATGTCTGTGCCGTTTATTTCTGTAATATCGTGTTAAATTTATAATGAAATCATCGCGAGCAATCTGTTTTTTATTCTGGTATATAACACAAAAATATATCAGCTTTGATTATATATTATATACAAAATATGTTTAGCGATATCTAGGATAAGATGATACAATTTCGAACATGATACAATTTTGAAATAAGATTTGAATCGAATTTTTGAGGTTCAAGTTTGATTTTTCCTGCTTGGTACTCTTCAATATCCTCCACCACACAATGAGAGAGTACCAAATTTAAATCTCGAAAATTGGATTCAAATTTTATTTCGTTTAGAATTGTATCATATTTGAAATTGTACCTTATTCTACATAACTGATAACGTTAGATTCGACTTTCTTATTTTTGTACAGATGATACTACCGCTGCCAAAAAACTGTCCCAAAGAAATCTACGATCTGATGCGCGAATGCTGGCAGAGGAACGACGTCGACCGACCAAACTTTCGCGAGATTCACCTGTTCCTGCAACGAAAAAATCTCGGTTATAAACCCGGTGAGTCAAACGATACTTGATATAGAGAACTGGAAGGCTGGAACCTTATCCGGCTTTCTATGATCGGCGAATTAAATGGCAATTGGTGGAACTGCCCTTCATCGACCAAGCTAGACCAAGTCAGACCAAGTTAGTATCTAGGGTGACGATCCATAAATCGGCTATAACGAACGTAAACTGTTTGTGATGGACGGACGTGTCCATCGTGCTGATGATAACTATTGTACGGTGACACTTACGTGCGAAAAGAAGATATAGGAATCTACGAGCTGATCGCGCCTAGAACTTTTGACGGTTCACGATATTAATATCCCTTTTTTTAGCCGTCAGTCGCCATACATTGTGAACAGCGCTGTGAATTTAATCGATAACCGATATGAACCGCACAAATCATTGTCGCCGTAACGCAAACTGTGCAAACTACAAGACATTGTCTACAAAATTCGCTTTTTTAATGATTCCTTTACACGAATATAATCTACAGACCGTTACTACGGGTAGATCGACAACTATTTCTTCGAGATACGCATAACAATGCGCAGTGCTTGACAATAGAATATTAATTTTTTATAAGCACTATTTTGAATCTACTAAATATTAATTTTTGTACATATGTATCATTTAATTGACGTATTATTGAAAATTTGTGAACTATTATATACGCTTAACTATATAAAGACTCGATCTTCTGGCTAATTCTTGTGCAACTTCTTATTTCTCTTTTATTTCTTAGCTCGTTAGTCTTTTATCAATCGCCTACAGAAGTTACACGTTAACCAAAACGGATAGCCCCATAATAATGATACCGAGTCTCCACGATACCATATCCACGCTCGCGCAATTGAAATGGATAGATTATGATTTTGATCCGTGGCATTCGATACGAAATGGAACGTTACTAGTGCTGGCAATACGAGGGGAGCACGTTCGATAAATCGCACATACGCTGTTCCGAAATTGATACTGTCAGCAAACAAGCTTATGATATTCGCGCCGTAACGGCACTCGTGTCACGTTCGGGATATACGTGGATCGGACTTGAAAATCGCGAGTTGTACGTAACATGTCCACTGACGAATAACGTAGTCATTTCTAAACTTTGATCCTCGAAATAAAAAAATGGATCTTTATCCAAAAATTATCGAAATTTGCTGATCTTCATGATGGGATTACGTTATCCGTTCTCAGGCCTTTTATATGTCAGTTTCGTAAATGTGTTCTGGAAAAAAAATTGTTTTTTCAAAAATCTAGATACAAATAATATACGTATACATATACCATTTTGAAGACAATTAAGCGAATTGTTTTTAGGAAAGCAAAATCTATAAGCGTATACGATCGAGTTGATTATAATAAATCAATGTGTTTCCCGGCGATATTTAACTGCTTGTATACTCTTTGCTCCATTTTATTTTTCAAGCTATCGTCTTCAAGAAGACAAATATAAAAACAGGCTAATTATCGTTCCTTCAACCATTTAATTGCACGACCAATATCTTTTCCTCCAATTCAGTTGGAAGATTTCTCGTTAACTTTTTAATTGAACACTCGCCATAGTGGCGCGCAGAAAGAATTATACGAATGTCGCTTCAAGGAGCTTATCAATGCACAAAAAATTATGAAATGGGTTAAGAGGAACATCCTGTAAAATTAATCATTGTGCCGTACAAGAAGCATTTTTCGAAGAGTACGGGAAAAGGTAATCTTAAGCCGCGTTAAGTTTTCGTTAAGTTCCCTTAAACTACTCTTAAGCTTAAGATGCGCTTAGCCGAAGTGCATAAATGTTTGACAATACCATTAGAGGTTGCAGTATAAATTCATATAAAGTGTGTAAAGAATGTTGAAGGATTAATCGACAATGTAAATTATTAGATTATTATAAGACCATCATTCTATTGGCGGTCGTATCGCATAATCGTTTTAGGATCGTTAACTCTATCGATACACAAAACTTCTCTCGTGCCCCGTTGTTCGACTTCGGCAAAAGCCGTAAGACGGATGTATCGTGATGTTAGGAGGAAAAAAGGAGCACATGTGACCTGATGTTAAGTTTATAGTGTGGAATAGAGATGGGCGATTTACCCGGTAAATGTTTCTGCTTCATTTGACACGCGTAAAAAATCCGATCAACTTTTTGAACATGATTATAAATGTTTTATATAATAAATATTTGATTTAACTATTTATACTTTATTTTGACGATCAAATTTTTGAGATTATTATTTATTCTCTGAATTTGTTGTCTTTCAAACCGACATGTTTCACATATTCTAGCAGTAAGACATTTCCAGGTAAATAGCTATCGTTAGTATGAAATATTGAAAGACTTATATACTTGTTAGAATGATTCTGTACATGTAGCGAAAGGAAAACAATAGTTGTGCGAAACACGACAGAGATATTCCGACGTTCAAAAACTTGTACACGTCACATAAATTCCGATACGTTGTTCTAGGTACCTTGCCTCGCACAGGCTAAGAGACTCATGCTCGTGATTTGTAAGATAATTAAGAATAGAATATATATATATATA